TCCGACAGAGGGGAAGGTGGTGCGGAATGATAGAGAACTACTTTCACCTATGAAAGGCTCCCATTAGGTGGAAGTGGTTAGGTGGCCACAGAGAAGAATGAGAAATCAGACACAGGGTAAAATTAGGACTAATGTATTAAAATTATGCCACTAAATACTTCAGCTGCAGGGAAAAAAAAAAAAAAGAGCTTCTCTGACCCTAAACTAAGCTGTAGTGAGTAATGAAATGGAGTGAGAATACTAAGTTTGTAACGGCAATATGGGCACTGTTGTGAGGTTACATATGAGATTCGTGCATTAATTAGATGTGGAGTAGAAAAGAGTTTTGTAAATCCGAACTCCAGGTGACCCTACTAATTCAGTGGAACAACATCGGAGAGACACTACTGTTGTGGGATAGGAAAGGTGGGAAGGTGAGACTGGACTGAGTTATGCTTTCATTAGAAGAGTTCTCTGCCTTCAAAAATCTTGAAAACTCCAAGACAATGTGATCTCTGAAATTCTTTCCGTTGGAAGGATTCTACGAGTTTGTAAAGCTAGAAGTAGATTCTATCCTTGAAAAATGTCACAGATAGTGAGAAGTCAGACTAAATGAAAAAAGATTTCTCACTATAGATTCTGCATAGTTTCTGTGGTGTGAAAAACTAAAAATGTAAATGAAAATCAAAATGTATAATTTTTATTGTGTAATAGGGAGAAAAGGTCTGAAAGAGTAGGGGAAGTGGGAGGGGTAGAGGAAAGGTAAGAAGGCAAAGAAAAAATATGAGAAAAGGAAAAACATGGAAACAATATATTTGTAAACAGGCAAGGGTGGAGGGGGTGAAGGGAGGGCAGGGGAATGGGGAAGAAATAAGAACCAAGATACATCGGGTAAAGGTGCAAGATCCCAATGATGAATGTAGCTGTACTGTGTACCTAAAATGTACCAATAAACTTAAAAAAAAGATTGGAACAGTTTTTTTGTCAGTCATGCATTCCAATATGTTCAAATTGAGTAGACTAAAATTTCAAGACACATTTTTTTCAGTTAGTGCATTTAGGACAATTTTGTTCCCTTTAGTATATATTATCTTTAGCTAGATTTATAAGTTGAAAAATATTCATGGTTTAAAAATCAAATACTGTGAGGGTAAGTTAGAAATTATTAGTATTTTTCCTGTTTTTACACCACATTCTATTACCTAATTCAGTACTAGCATTTCTATGTATATAGAATTTTTTTTGTATGTATAGAAATTTCTTTTACATATGTTCTTTTTGAATTAGGAGTTTAGTTTAATAGTAATTAATACTAAAGATATATAATGCAAAGAAGATTTAAATAATACCAATAAAGTGAATACCATCACTGAAACTAAGGAATGGGAAATGTCCCACACCTTCAAAGACCTCTGGACCAAAAAAAAAAAAAAAAAAAAGAAGAAGAAGAAGCAGTTTAAAGAAAAAAATCTGTCTGGGGGTTTAGGTCAGTGGTTCTGGCACCTGCCTTACAAGTGGAAGGACCTGAGTTTGATCCCCAGCACCAAAAACAAACAAACAAACAAACAAAGAAGCAGTTTAAAAGACCTCTGGGCTTTTCTTGCGGTTTCTCGCCACTTCGAAAACCTAATAGTAAACACTATCTCCAGTTCTTTCTTTGCCATTTCTTTTTTTTTCCTCATTAATTTTATCAGTACATTTTAGGTATACAATATGCTGACATTCATTATTGAGAATTTGTACCTTTACGTAATATATCTTGGTTCTTATTTTTCCCCCATTCCCCTGCCCTCCCTTCAACCCCTCCATCCCTCCCTATTTACAAAGACTCTTTCCATTTTTTTCATTTTCTCATATTTATTCCTTTCCCTTTTCTCCTTTCCCCTACTCCTACCTCTTCCCCTTCTCCTTTGTACCTTTTCTTCCTATTTCACATTATCTATTATACATGTTGATCCTTATTTACCCTTTTTCTTTGCCATTGATATTTCTTTACATATAGTTTATTTCACATTAATGTTTATTTAAATTTTATATTGTCATTTCAAAAACATATGCTAAAATTTTATGTATTCATTTTTCTTATCTAAAATTTATTTTCATATTAGATTTCATTGATGTTTTCCTGTTTTAATTCTATTTCCCTTCTTTTCACAATTTTCTGTGAAGCCCATTTCTATTATGTTAGTGGTTTCTGTAAATATTTTAGCAAGCATATCTTCAAAAAGACCCCAAAATCTTAGAACATTTTGGTTTCATTCGCTACCCTTTCAACATTATTTTTTAAATTTTTTTTTATTTATAAAGTTCACCGAACACAATGATTGCATTCATTGTAGAGAGTTGGTACAGGTACAGAACACATTCTAATTCTTTTTTTTTATCCCCTTCTCTTTTCCTCTTTCCTTTCTCCCTACATCTCTTGGTCCCCTTACCTTTTGCAGATCTATCTCCCTGTTTCCTATTACCTATCTTTTAAGTTGCTATAATTTATATTTTGGGTTTCTCACACAAGAGAAACAACTTCAATATTTAAGCTTGTGTGTCTGATTTATTTCACTTAATATCGTGGTCTCAAAGTACATCCATTTTCCTACAAATGGCTTAAGTCTATCTTCTTTATGGAAAAGAGGTACTCCATTATGTATAAATATACTTTTTATCCATTCATCTGCCTCCATTATTTAGCTCTTGTGCATTGTATTGATTCAAACATGGGCAGAGGGCCAGGGATTTAGCTCAGTGGTTCGGTGGCCTGCCTTGCAAGCGCAAGGACCCGAGTTCAATCCCTGGTACCAAAAAAAACAACGGCAAGACATCATATTACAGATATAAATGCATACCCTTTAAATTTCATGCTCTTTTTTTACATATTAGTTTTATTTTCATTTTACTGCCATAATAGATAGTTGAAATATTGTTCTATATATTCTTTTCTTAGATCAATCCATATGTTTGCCATTTATGGCTCACCGTTTTGTCTTCTGCCCCACAAATTTTTTTCTACAGTCATCTTTGAGTCATTTTCCTCCTAACATTATCTTTCATATTTTTCTTTACAGCAGTTGATTAATGTTTAACTTTTTCAAGTTTTAATTCCTCTCAAATGTCTTTCTGTCAAATCCTACATAAATCTGACGTAATTTTTTTCTCTTTGTTATTTTTAATAGTACATTTGTAGTGAGGGTACAGGTACCCAACATATCCTAATTTATTTTCAACCCCTTCCATCTTTTGGCCTCATTCTTGAAGGCCACTTCCATTGATTATATATTACCAGAATGACAAATTTGCTTCAACCAGTACTCTGAAGATATATTCATCTTTTTTCTGGCTTACAAAATAACAATTGGAAATTTATCTTTGGTATACTGCAGTTTTACTTTGGTGCATTTTAATGAAGATTTCTTTTTATTTGTCATAGTTGGAATTCATTGTAATTTTGCATTAATGATTCATGTATTTTACACATTCTGGAAGGTTGTTAGACATATCTTGTTGAATATTGCATTTTCTCAATTCTATTTTTTCCATAAGAATTTGAAGTCTTATTGCATTCTTACTGCATTTAATTTATCTTCCACATTTTCATCTCTTTATCTATGGTGCATTCTATGTAATTTCTTCAGTTCTTTAAAGTACTATAACTATCTCTAGCTGTATTTATTGTTGTTTATTTTATCTGTTCATATAAAATTTCCCATATTTATAATTTTTATTTCTTAAAATACTATTGGCTATGTTTTAAATCCTTCATCATGTTATATAGATTTTTCATAGTACTTTCAAGACAATTTAATTTTTTTGTGTACCTCTGCTTACTCATTTTCTTAATCTCTCAGGATCAAAATTTACTCTCTGCTATTTCTGTACTTGTGATGCTTTATTCTTGTTAGTGCTTTTTAATTGTGAACTCATTTATGGGAAGTCTTAAACTATATTACTCCCTAGAGGATTTGGTTTGCCTTTGCTAGTTGCTTGGGATGGTCACCTTAATCAATATAAATGATCCAACTGAGATTTTTAGGAAAAACATTTCATTTAGTCTGTAAACATATTGACTTCTTTGTAGTTACAAGATTTCTTGCTGACTCCTCAAGGCAGAGGTCTTCACTTCTAACAAATCTTTTTGGTGAAGATGTAAATATTTGGATATCTGCATTTAACAAAGGCCTTCCTGTTGCATGTTTAATCTTGAATAGAGTTCCTTCTTTGTTCCCCAGAAGCTAAGAATTCAGGAGAGCAACTAGTGATATCAGAATTCTAGTCCTTCTGTGGATTTCTATTTATCTTTTATAACTTTCACTTTGGAGAATTTTACCATATCTGGGAATATATTTGTATATAATAAATGCATATATTACATACATATATTATGCCTATATTTTGCTATTTCTACTGAGAAAATTTTACTGTCTTGTTTCCAATATTGTCAGAAATTAATACTCTAAGAGTTTGTAATGGTCTTTCATATTTCTATATGTTTATTTTTTTGTTTAACTATGTATTTAACCATAGATATTCATATGTATAAATTAGCCTTGATTATTTTGAATGATTGCATAATATTAAATATTATGGAAAAACCATCATTTAACACATGCCCTGCTTATTAATTAGATAATAATTGATTAGATAGCTTCTAGTTTTTCATTATCAAAAAAATCAATGTATATATGCTCATTATTTGTATATTGAGATTAAGTATGTAGAGGTGAAATTGTTAGGTGAAAGGATATACCACTTAAATTTTAATGCTTATTTCTAATTGGCTTTTCAGAATTTCCAACTACTAATTTGAGAAGATCAGTGTGCCTGTGACCTCATTACTTTTTCTACACTGAATTTTATGAGCATATTATTGTTAATTTGATAAGTAGTCTATTTCTTAACTTTTTTCTAGTATTAATTCCTGGGAGATAGAAAGTATTACAAAAATATGCATGAGAGGCTTTTAATAGATAATTTTCATGCCAGATGAGAAATTGATTTGAAGCAATTTTTCTCACATTCAACACTGAAATATAATATGCTTGGGGCAATGGCATTAGAGCCCTCATCTGACTGTGAGTATCCTAACTGTTCGGAGGGTGCTGAGAGTGAGTCTGATTGGAATCTCTATTCCCCAAAAAGAGAAAATGGTTCCTTATATTCAAGATCAAGGAAGAAGAACATACCTCCTTTCAGTGTACAGTGTTGTTCTCCCCAGGACTGTTTCACTAGGCCAGAGAGTGACAAAAAGGACTCAGTATTTCTTCCTCCAGAGGAGGAAGGCTCTGTGAGGTTTTCTGAGAAAAATTATCTCAGGCTGAGCCCTGAGCGTATCAGAAGGAAAATCGAACCAATGAGAGAGGTGACCATCCAAGACTTACTGAGGGAGTTTGGGATCAATGGGAAGTTCCAGCCAAACTCCATGTCCTTGGGCCACTTTAGAGATCAGATGGTTGTGAAGTTCCGAAGAGCTCTGTACTATTCTGGGATCTGAGTGTCCCATGTCCAGGGCTATAGATGTGAAAAGCACTTTTCAGCTAAATATTTCAAAAAAAAAATCCTGGTAGCCTACATCATCTGGTTCCCTGGCTAAAACGTGAACTAAGAGCTGTTTATGGAGATTATGGCTACACAGTGAAGAATATTGTAGCTGCCATCCTCTATCATATGACTAAATATGATTTGGATAGTGAGTCCTTCATTCACCTCTTGGAACCTTTTCTCCTACAACATACACACCATTTCCTGCATGAGTTTATCAGTTTTGTTCATTCACCTTACAACATGGAAACCTATGACCAGCGAGCCATCTATCAATGCCCTTTTGTATCAGCATGGGTAAAAAAGAAGTCTGTTGATTTAGGTCCTATTTTCCCTTTGCCTAAAGATCATGATCTAATGATGTCTCAGAGTGATAAAGACAGGTCTAAAGACAACCAGAGTCAGGGGAATAAAGAGGACAGTTCTGAGTCTCCCTTGAAACCGTTTGCAAATGGTAACTCTTCTTTGAAAAACTCTAACGTACCACAAATCCTTCATAAAGCAGCAAGCAAAATCCACATTTGGACCAAAGAGAAACCAGAATCAGGCAATCACAAAGGCACCGTTTCTCCAGATAATATGCTTCTGAGTTGGGCTGCCCAAAGGGAAAATGGTCCAGGAAAGCTTAATTGCAAAAATCATGTTCAAGAGAAAAACACAGAAGGGATAAAGTTGCATCCGAGTCACATCCAGGATCTGCGAAACATTGAAACAACGTCATACACCTTCAGCTCCCCAGAAATTCCTAATCAGAGGCAACCACAGAAGTACAATCTAAGAAAGAGAAAGGTTTTACACATTGGACCCTGGAAAAATTTCCAGAAAGAACAAATAGAAAATACCAAATACTCAGATTCTTCACCAAAGGTTTTTCAAAGACTGTCCAGAGAAAGATCCTTGTTAAATTGCACACCCAGAAGGCGAGATCCTTCTTGCAGTTGCATCTCAGAAAATGCTCTCTCTCCTAAGAGAAACATTAGGAAGCTAAGTTCTTTCAGAAAAAAGAGGTCAAAGAGCAGACATCCTTCCCAGTTTATTGAAGTTGGTTCACACTGCAGTCGAAGAACCCAAAGACAAGGAAGGTCCAGTACACAAAGATCTAAATCCTGTTGTGTCGGACATAGAAGGGGATCTGAAAGCAGAGAGTCAAGTAATTTCTCTCTGAGAATAAGTCAAAAATGTGAGCCCTTCACTCAGAATATAGGATGTGAGCCCCCCAAAGGCAAGAATATGCATGGCCTCGAATCAATCTATGAGAGGGCATCTTTGATCCCAGTCCAATATCTGAAGCTTTCTTCAACAGCTGGGAAGAGGCCCAAATGTCCTTCTAAAGGTGAAGGTGCTTACCAAACTGAGAACCACTGTAACCATCCCACTTGCCTACATGTTGTGAAACAAAGATCCCCGAATAATGAGGAGCTGAAGCAAAAAGCCACATTTCCTAGAGCTGGAAGAACCAGACGAATTAGTCACAGGAAAAACAAAAGCCAGCGCTCAGATACACACACCATGGATGAAGTCAGTGATGAGTTGGAGGATCTGGATAGTACATGGCAAAAAATTGTTTCTTCTGAATGCACACACTCTTACAGGAAGCCAATCTCCCAACACCAGAAGTTTTCAGAAATGCCATAGAGTCAAGAATAAATACAGAGGAAAACTCACATTAGGAACAGAGGTGCAAATTGTTTTCAAAGGCGAATCAATTGATTTAGCTGCCAAGTACCAGTAAAAGTACGAGCATAATCTGAAAACATTACTAAAAATATTTATCACATTACTTTGTAATTGGAACCAAGAGCCTAATTATTAAATTCATAGTTTTTTTTGGAGACAAATGCATATTATTAAACTGTTCATATTCATAAATATTATCTGTCTGCCTTTTTTTTTATTTTATTTTTTTTTTTTG